CAAAGAAACAGCTAGCAACTGCTTTCTCTTGAGAAGGCGCTTCTGTAATTCAGCTCCTGAGCACTGTGGATCCCCTATTTGGGAATCTCTCCCCTCATTCTTCCACTCTCAGTCTGTCTACATACATTAAAAAAAAAAAAAAAGAAACACTGCTAATTGCTGCTAAATATCCCCACCATAGGAAATAAAACATGCAAAATTTACCTAAAGAGGATAAAAAGAGACAAAAGAAGAAAATGTTTGAGCTTTTTCAAGTACTAAGCAAGGCATTTATATTCTATGCAGGTAGCAAGGAGACTACTCTAACAGTGATGGGGACTGTAATGTTGGGCATTTAAACCTTGGGCACTGCTACCCAAGATAGCTTCACTAGAAGTCAAACCTGAATCCTATGTTTCTGGTTATTTCTGCATAAGTTTTTTATAGAAGGATTTCTAAACTGCTCTCTGCATTTCTGAAATGCAAAATGTAAAGTGGAAAACCTAAAGATTTAATATTCAGCTTTTTTTAAAAAAAACAAACACTATAGGTGGTAATTAAAACACTCAGGAATCTCAGTTTGCAACAAGAAAAAACATAAATCTCTGAAAGACAAGGTATTACTTGCATGTCAAAAACGGGCATCTAATAAAGCAGAAAAGAAACCTACCTCCCTTCTGCCACTGAAAGAGAAATTTTCAGAGGCACTTAGAGGGGCTGCATCCCTTCTCCTGGTAAGATTGCCTAAATGAGCAACTACCTGGCTGGAGTACACTGTGTTGCTTGGTGACTTAAATCAAAATTGAGCTGCTCTCATCTCAAAATTAAAAGGTGTGTCATCATATCTTTCCTCTCACAGCAGTGCACAATGTCTCCTGAAGCTTCCCTGTAAAAAGGATGAAAGAGGCTCCTACATATTGGTATACTGGTGATTCCCCAAAGTGGATTCACCCCAGCTCTAAGCAATGTATTGCCATGGACCATGGAAAAATTTGGTTGTTTGTAAGACTAGCTATTTTGGCCACAAAACGTCATAAGACAAGAAATACTCCACACCTGTGGGGTCCACAGCACTGAATATTTATGCTGGGCTGGTGTGTGAATTCTAAGGAGTCCCAAGAAACACAAGTTGGGAGGTGGGGAAGAAGACATAGCAAAGTTGCCATCACTTTCATTTTTCTACATTAATTTTCATATTAAGAGCAATTAGCAAGGGCTTTTAGTTAAATAATATTTTCTATGGAAAAAAATGCCTAATGTCTAAATTGACAGTCTTCCCAATTACAGTCTCCTTTTTCTCTGAAAGTCTGGTAATTAAACCAATGAGCTATATCACCTGTTCTGTAAGTATATTATCTATCTGCATGTTCTCTGCTACTGGAATTTTATGCTTGTGTTTACAGTGCTATTTACTGCAAACATATTAAATTAAGAAACACTAGAAAGAAAAAGGATTTAGCACACACAGACACCAAACACAATCCATGTAGATACAAGACATGCTAAGGACAAGGCCTGTTATTCTATTGCCTTCAGTAAGATCTACAGCACACAAAATCTAACTACATCTTTGCACGGTACTCATAGTAACTTGAGGTTTCAGCTAGAACAGTATAAATACAATTATCCACCATAGGAATCACAGAACTTAGCAACTGATTTATTCTTGAGATGCTAGAGAACCAAATGATGTGCATTTAGTAAGGTTAAGAACTTCAGTTAGTTAACTGCCCATCTGAAAGCAATAAACTCTGTAGTCCATATCTTGTTCTTAGGCAATATTATACACTAGATATTAACTAGCTAGCACCCATCCATGCTATCTGCATCTGTATGTTCATGGTGGGCTGAAAATAGAATATTCAAAGGATTTCACAGCTTTCTTAACTTGTGAAAACACTTGCTCATTTCTACAGTAAATGCAACTATCATTAATCATTTTTTTAAAAACTCAATTAATTTAGAAGCACAAACTGTACACAGAAATAAAACATGCACAGGAACAGAATACATTTTTTTAAAGTGTTTTATCTGTATAACTCTGTACTTCAACTTACCTTCTCTTAACAGAGAGAAGAAAGCATGAAAAAGAGAAGCAACCTCTTTTCTGTTTGCAGGAGGAGCCCCAATGATTACAGATAACAGTATTATTATGGGCAGGTTTTTAAGTTGGGCTCAAATTTACAACTAGTTTTTCAAGAGTTAATCCATTTTTAATAGGCTGTATGCTAAATGCTAGTGTGCATTAGAAATAATTTGTGAGTAGATGCACCCTGGCAATGCATGTACAAGTATCTGCTTAGTATATCCTTTGCATAAATATTGTATTTCCAGGTAAAGAGACACCAGGGCTGTTTTCAACGAGCTGAAAGTCAAAACCAGACTTCCACCACGGCACAAGGAAAATGCCAGTCACTACGCAAGATCGCAGGCTTTCACACAGAGGAGCAGGTCACTATTAGCAGATCCTAGCAGTGACCATGAGTTTAGATGGGCTTCCAGACACATTTGGAACCAGCTGATCCCAGCCAGGAGCAGGGAGTTGGACATTGTGATCCTTATGGGTCCCTTCCAAGTTGAGATATTCTGGTTCAATGTTTATTACACAGTCCCTGATCCTGTAATGGATGGTAAATAAGCAAACTCCTCCACCTGCATGGAGGTGGAGTTGATAGCAGTTCACGGAATAACTCAGGTTGGAAGGGGCCTCAGGAGGTCACTGTTTGCTATGTTCAGTTAGAGGAATTTGGACTCAATTAGAAGGGTCCATGTAAACTGGAAGAAAAAATTTGTCACAAGTTTAGAAGCCAAATAAAATAAGAGATTATTGGCTAATGCCTTTCAGCCGTCTGGGTAAAAAGAGCCTTTAATCATGCCTCTATCCCCTTTCGATGCATATGCTTCACTTGCAGTTACCTGCCAAATCCCATGACTCGCTTACGCTGTGTAAGCAAGGTAAGTGTTCATCTTGCACATGGGATACACAGCCATTGGCATTAGGACAATTCCAAATAGATATCCATAGGAAGAATAACCTGCCAAACACACCAGCTAGCCATGCTGAAGCTCAAGGAATGGATTTGCTAGTTGTGGTCTCTTACTCCCAGTTTAGAGTATCTTAAAGATATCATACCCTTAAGAGAGATAACCTTACAGAGATAAAAAACCAAAGTTACATTGATATTTTGACTGTATGCCTGGTTGGAGCTGTAGATACTAATCAGCTAGATGGTCATATTGCTTAGATGACTCAGAATCTCAGTCTAAAAATACCAGTATCAAGAATCAAATGAATGGCGGTGTGTATCTAAAGAACAAAGCACCAGTTCAGAATAATGATGCTACTTAATAGGGCTATGGAATAATATGCATGTACATTATCAATGTTCTTTAACTTCTCAGATGTGGTTTTATTCTGTTACAGCCATCACGACTCATATTTAAGATTTACAATATACAGAATGGAATTAAATGAAAGTCAGCAGAGCTTTGCTTCATACTCTGTAATTATAAGGATCTACATGTATATATTAATATTAAGATGAAAAAATATTAGGTATGGTCAATACTAAAGTAGGTAATTGCATATTACAGCAGTGATGGTCCTTATGACACTGAGAGCTATGAACAAAAACAGAACAGTATCAGCATAAAACTACGGACAAGCTTTAGCAGAAACAAATGGTACAGACTCCTGTGGCCGTGCCATACTGGTGTATCCTCGGTAGTTCATTAGATACTAGATCTTGTAAATATTCAATGTAGCTTTTACAATGGACCACAGCCACATCAAAAGCAACACTTTACTGATAGCTGATCAAAAAAAGACTAAACAGCCTCCCCGAGGAAAACTGCTTTGGAAGAGAACAAAACCACTTGTGAGATGTTTCCAAAACCACACCCCCACAGGGTAGTAAATGCCTACCACCACAGAATACCCCCTTCCCCAACCCACAGCATTTGTCAGACAGACAGGTATACACTTCAATAACAAATAAGGATAAAGAAGAGTTTTTAAGAACGCAATTTTAACAGCTCCTCTGGACAGTAACTAGCAATAAGATACACTGCATAAGTCCTTCATGCTAAATCCATACGACACCCATATTTGTGTGCAAATACTAATATTCTTCATAAACGTATTTTTTTCTAACACCTAAATGTTCATACAGAAAACAGCACAAAAGGAGGTATTTGTCTCTTCTGGGTTATTTTTGTCTCCAAAAAACACTGCACATGTTTTGGAAGGCATCATTCCCACTATGAGCTACCCGGGGCTCACTTTTCACCTAGTGTAAGTGGAAGAATGTAACTGCTGTATATCAGCAACAAAAGTGTAGTAACACTTGGTATTGTGCAAATATTTAACGTTCACCTCTGTGCTGGAATAAAAATAACCACAGAGTGTTTTATAGGATGAGCTGAGGCGAATTTAATCTGAAGAATTCAGAACAGTTTGGGGGCATTTTTGAGTTTGTGTGACTATATTAACGGAAGATGGTGACTCTCCAGGTAGATCTTGACTTTAGATGCAATGTATCTAACAAGTCAGTGGACTGGTACACAAACCCTCTGTTCTTCATCTGCAAAACATACAAATTGTGCTGTTAAACCTGAGTTTTGCTGTTTGACCTTTCAGGTCTAGAAGGTTGCTTTTCAATGCCGAGTTATTTGGAAAAATAATTATCTTCCCACTCCACTGTGCAGTGATCCTCCAGCTGCCGGCCCCCACTAGAGGCTGGCTGGATTCAGAATCGTCACCGATTCAAACCACATGACCCAAATTTGCTAAGACTTCTCAGAATAGTAAAGTTCCACGCCCAATTCTATTCAAGTTCCCAAATCCTGCGAGTCACTCAAAATCCAGGCTACAAACAGCAGCCATTCTCCTTGCTGTTCACCTGCCTAGTGTGACACCGATCATCCTGCGTTCACACCACCGACAGACACAAAAGAAAACACTCCCTCTGCCCCTCACTTCATTGTCCACTTCATCTGGAAAAGACTGTAAATAAGCAAACCTGTTTGGTCAACTGATCCTTCTTCACCAAACCGGTGGCTGCAGCAATGTTCCCTGCTCCTTCCACTGTCTTCTGGGCCACCGCCGTCACTCCTGTCACCACAGCTCCCCCAACATTAGAGACTTGCTCTTTGGTCTTCTCAGCCACTGCAGAGAAGCAGAAGATGGAGAAAAAAAAACAAATTATGGCTCTGGAAGATGTAAGTTTTTTGGAGAATCGTATCTATCCCTGACAGCCCAACATCACGAAGAGCCACGAGGCCATTACCCTTTGTGTAGCCCAAGTGCATCCTCAGAAATGAGGCTATCCATCTGGCAACACTGGAGCAGCAGAGGTAAAAATAAGCCTTATTTGTGGCTCAGTTTCTTGCATTTCAAAGACATTTGACATTTTCATTCATGTTTAGCTGTACTTCAGGAAAGAAAAGTCATTACTTAAGGGCCCTTACAACGCCCAACTCACTGTGTAACATGTAATAATTGCATGCAGTATATTTCAGTTTGGAAATGCATTCCAGTTAGTCCATCAAACACTTGCTGCATGTTACAGGGCAAGGAAGCCAAGATTTTTTACATTAGACTCAAAAGCCATTGATTATTCTTTTATTTTTATTTTTTTTAAATATACTTGATTAATAAGCAGAGCTACTGTTGCTCAAGCAGAGAATTTCAAATACAACCTTTTATCTGATTCTGAGATTTCTGTCCCACTGCTGATCTGTCCATCCATAACATACTAATCTACAGAAAGACTGAATGCCAGAGATGCCACAGCAAAATGGATTCATAGCTAACTTCCAAGCCCCAGGGAACCAACAACTCATTTAGCCTACATATACATCAGCAGCTGCCATTCTACCTTTCAGGATATCACTGGGTTCTTTCTGCTCCTGCATCCCCAAGGGCTCTTTCTGACAGCAGTTCGCACTATAGTGAAACCGCTCCAAAGGGAAGAGATGGGATGACTTCATACCTTCAAGTCACACAGCCAGATTTTTGGCAAAAACACATTTACTCATCTGAACAAGGCACTGTTCTTCAAAACAACCCAGCATGTAGTTTCATAATTCTAACTAATCCTCTACTTTCCTCCAGCCCAAATCCCATCCAATCCATAAAATGTATTCACACCTCTGCCTGCAGCCTTTATGAGCGCAGGATGGATTCTGCTTGGCCAATAAGCCACTCTTGCAGAGACTTTTTTGGGAAGGACATACAAATAGAAGACTTTCTACAGATAAATTGTATTTCTTTAATTCTTACACAATGAGTATCAGCTGTCCGTTTCACAGGGCATGCAGCACAGATTGCTATGATTGGCATTAAATAACAACAATTAGGAAAAAGCTAGAAGGGTAAACAGTGATATTTAATAAAGACCCAAATAATAAATATCTGCTGACTGAAAATAGAGGCAGATCATTTAATGCTCATTCTAACTAACTTAAAGGGAACAGTTAGTAACTGATTGAGTATTATCTCCCTTATAACCAAACCCAGGAACATTCATTATAGAGCAGGACAGCAATGGACTATACATGTGTCCATCCATAATATTGTCTGAAACTTGAAACAGAAAAACTCTGTTCCAAATACATTCCAACCTACACATGCTAATAAGATAAAAATTCACACGAAATGTCATTGTATCCATCCAGTACTCTATTGACATGCTTTTTCCAGAAAAAAAAAAATCAAAAGTGAGTTTTGCTGAAAAGCAGCTGTTGCTCTCAGGCACGGTTTGACATAATGCTGGCAAGCGCAGACAGACATCTATTAAGATGCCCCATTTGATTATTACCAGCTACAGACTACAAAAAGCTCTGGATTCTACACATAAAATTTATACAGGAAGTTTTTCACTAGTCCTTGCAAACACATATCTTAAAGTGTGTGTCCTAATAACACGCTATACCTTCCAAAGAACGTGCACAGAGTCTTTCAGAAACACACCGAGTAACATTCTGAGATGGAAACTTACTAATGCTTTCATATTATTTAGAATGACAAGAAGAAATCTCAGAGCTACATAAAAAAAAAAAAAAAAGTAGTATCTTGCAAAAATAGGTTTTCAAGTTATATTCTCCAATAAATTTTTTAAAAAAGATGCATTCTGGGTAAGCTTCAGTATTGCTTTTTATTTTTCCTCTCATTCCTTGTCTGGGAGAGGAGGAAAAAAGAAAACAAAACCAACCCAAGATATATAAATCAAGGTCCTTCCTATACACATTTTCTTCTGTTTATTTTTTTTAATCGAAGTGACACTCACTGTTTTGGAAACTTCCTTTTCTAAATTCATTGAATGGCAGAACATTTAAGAGAGACAAATTCAAGCAGGCTTGATGCTGACAAGGGATCCACGCTCAGCTGCTCTCAAGCAGTCTCCTCCCTTCTGATAAAATGATAAAGCGATAAAGTATGGCTGCACTCTGTTCATTGTCAATAGTCATTATCACCTTCACAACGTCAAGATCTTAAAAAAACTGCACCTCAAAAGCAAAATGTCAAGAAATGGAGTGAAATTAGGCGCACTGGCGATGCTAGCAGGAGAGAGTATTCTTTTCTGTCTCTAAGGAATACCTAAACACCATCAAAGTCCCCACTGCCAGAGTGACTCTGTAAATAAGCTCCAGCCTCTTGACCCTTCAGCTCTGGAAACTAGCAACAGGAGAAGAAAAAGCAAAATGGGTTTCCAGTCTTGTGTATTTTATTGCTTACACTAAGTAGTAACAGGGGAAAAGTGTTAAGTGCGCACAAACAAATTAGTTCTGAATACAGGGGGTTGATACCAACTAATTAAATCAATCTGAATACCAGCTTGTTTAATGATCTTAAGCCATTAAGTCTGTGTCAAGCTGATGTCCGTTTTGCATCACAGTGCTGAGAAAATAATAAATCAGCTTCCACAGAGCTCTGCTGTGCTATGACCTGATTACTTCTGTCCGTCTACGCAGACTGTCCGTTCCCATAAGTGATCGTGGGACCGTGTACAGTGGCCATGACAAGGCTAACTTCAAAAGGGAAGTTCTAATGCTGACTACAGCACTCTGCAAAAATTATTAGCATTGAAGCTTTCTTTTCCCTACTTATTATAGACAACTGGGTAACATACAGTATTAATGTAAAACCTCTGGAGCAATTTAAAATGAGAACTAGTTGGTTTCCATTTTAAACAATAAAAGCAAATGAAAACAACAGGATTTCTCTGAATTAATGAAATTACTCTTACTGCACCAAATATACTTTTGAATATGTATTTCAGACAATAAGGTTGCCTTAGGTACTTGAAGAATTCATTTACAAAGCAGCCATAAATATATTGAGGGTTCTTTAATTCATACAGTTTACTGTAAAGATACCTGATGGTATAAAACCCCATAAAACCAATAAGCAAAGCTTCTTCCTCTTGGGAAATTCTGAGAAAGGGTGACCTGACAAATAGCATGCTCACTGTATTCCTGTGAATCACAGCCTGGTACCCTCATTTCGCAGTGTCTTGATGCCACTGAACCTGGTACAATCAGGTCATAACTTGTCTAAAGCAAGAAACATCTCAGTCTAGTATTTCTGGGTTTGGAAAGCACTGACTGAAAAGCATATTTAGTTGTTCAGCACTTTGAAGTGTTTCAGCTCCCAGTCCACTCACCAGCAAAGGGTTTTAAACCACAAACTATTAAAAAAAAAAAAAGGCAAAACTAGCAAGACCTCAGAACTCAGACAGTAAGAAAGGACTGACTGCACAGCTGTGAATACACACTCATTTCGATCTGTGATTCTAGTTTGCATTTGACTGTCTCCAACCTCTTGAATCATTTTTATTCACATAACAAAACAGGCTATTTCACCTCGGGTTTCAAATGGTATTAACACCGTGGTGCATCACAAGACTACCAAAACTGGCAAAGTCCTAGTCCTATGAAAAGAGACAAGCAGGTCTTCACAAGTGCCCTAAAAGGCAGTTCTATCACATCAACTCCAGTAGCATTGATTTAAATGGATTTTATTTCTAAGACAAGCTCACTAGCATTTCTCGGTGTCTTCATACTCTATCTCACAGCATCACTACAGTGAACCCAAATCTGGTTTTGCCTACCTTCGCTGCTTGCCAGAACAACTTTTCATAGACTTGTAATTTTTTTGTTGTATTTTTAAAATATGTGCCCAAGCAATTCCTCTGTTCTTACACTGCCAAGCCCATACAGTTTCATTTTAGAAACCGTGCTCTCGTGATTTTGCATTAGGTCTCCTCTGCTCACTGACACATTTCAACCTGCATGTCTTCTCTTCATTTTCCATTTTCATCCAACAGACAAACTCCTTTCAAACAATTTAATAGGCCAGAAGGAAGCAAACTGTGGCACCCATTATTCCCAAGCTTTGGGTGCTTCACCCATTTCCTAAGCGGGTGAGGAGCAACCACTGCTTTACCTAAAATTCCCAGTAACTTTTCCGAATTTTTTATTCATAGGCACAGCACGTAACAGATGTCCTCTCCTTATGAGTGGCTTTATAGTTTGTTTCATATCTTCTGGAACAAAAGTTAACATCTTTTCAAACTTGTCAAAAAAATTCTATTAATCTACTTAAAATTTCCTGTCTCACTACATGTACTGCAATCAGATAAAGATGGATACTCACAGGAGTCAAGATCCATTGTTTCTTTCAGGAGGAGGAAAGAGGTTTCCCACTAAGCCAGCCTACTACAGAGTCCCAGTGCTGCAGCAAGTTTCACACCTGTGCAAATGCCCTTGACTTTCATTCTCCCGCAAAGCCCAGCTTGCTGCACATCACCTCTATTAACTTGCTTGCTAGTGCTGTCAGTTGCTGCTCCCACACCTGGGATGATATTAGACACATGTGCCTCAAAACTCATTCTACTGCAATCCTCTCCTGGTTGTAGTAATGATCTGTGAATATTTATCTTAATTGAGGTCTAACAAGCTGAAATTTCCAACCTCCTAACAAGAGCCTGCATGTTTAGCCTGAGGCTAAACTCTGAAGGGGTATCAGATGTTCCCTTCAGCTTTGTTACTAAAAATAATCTTGACTGACTTCTCAACCATTTATTTGGGTTGTGATCCTAAGCACTGCCATTTGCTTACTGAGTTTTTATTATCCTTTGCATTGGCTTATGTGAGCACAGGTGAATGATACACTCACTGTACGCAGAACAAAAAGAAAGAAGAAATCCTTTACTACTCCCTTATTTATCTGCTTTCTAATTTCTTAGGTGAAAACCACCTCAAATTTGTTGACCACGCATTTCTTCACATCTCCACAAGTCTCATGCTCTACAGCAGAAAATTCCCCATTCTGTTGAATGCACTATGGTCAGCTGAGGCTTTCCTGCACTCTCTATAGACCTCAAAGCCTCATTCATTTTGGCACTTATTAGTGACTTCAAATCACTGGCTACTGGCTTCCATTCATACCTATAGTGAACCCTGCAAATCAATTTAAAATGCAAATTTACTCTTTTTCAGTGTAACATGAATATACATGCCTGGCATTAACTTTAAAGTTTGAAAGCCACTACTGAGAGATTAGGCAATTCTAAAAAACATTTCAAAACCCACAAAACTGAGACAAAGTCACCTCAGTTTACAGACACTCTGAAATTTGTTTCTTTCCTATAAGCCATTTCCCTTCTATCTTCCCACCCAGCCAGCTCCAGGAGGACACCCTGATGAGTCACAAGAATCTTTTCAGGGGGATGAGGCATGTCCACAGTGCAAGGACAGCATGACTGCAGGCACAGCAAGCACACCTCCCCTGGAACTGCTCTGCCTGGGTGCTGCTGGAAACAGACCTCAGGCTGGGACGAAGAACCACTAAGAGAACAGATCATACTTGGCTATTAAATTCACCTGGAATTCTCTGTGGCCACAGATGTACCAGTTTAAAGCCCTCTTTATCAGTCCCACCAGCTTACAAGCCAAGATGTATTTTACCCCATCAGGACAGCTGGATCTCATCACGCTATAGCATATCTTATGTCTCAAAAACTCATCCAGGGTTACAAAAACAAGTTCTGGCAGAGGCACCAGTCCTGGAGCCAGGTGTGGATGTCTTGGGGATGCCTGTTCCATCCCAAGTCTCTCCCAGTTACAGGGAGGATTGAGAAAAGGCAGCTGAGAGGGTTCCTCTTACAGCTCTGTGCATCCTGCTCCCACCTTCTCTGTCCCCATGACGCCACCTTCTTCCTGCCCCAAAACAGCTCCTGGACCCACCTCTGCAGCAGCTGAGTCAAGCTGTGCGCCCCAGAGACAGCAGAGCACAGCCCCACAGGTCCACCTCCCTCTCAAGACTCTGGGGTGCTCCTCATCCCCCAGTCCCTCCATCCCAGGGGCTACCCTGCTCCCACAGGAGCCCCACAAGCGAGGCCACCCACCGGCCCTCGGGTGGGCAAATGGTGGCAAGTGCTTCCTGGGGTTCTTCCTTTCTACCTAGCTCTTGTAGTCCCTGCTGGATGAAGGAGGCTCCTACACTATCTTCCCTCCTTCACGTGTGGCAGTAATTCCCGGCTCTCTCACCAGCATCAGTCCTGCCCGACCATAAGCTCCTAAACCAGCAGCTTCCAGTCCTCCCGACACACGCCCCAGTCCCTCCTTGCTTTGCCTCCCACAGTGCTCCTCCAGTGGCATGTCCCTTCTCCATCAGGATCACCACCAGGAGACAAACCTGGGCACCCAAGCCAGGCTTTCAGCTTCTGTAGGTCAAAGTTCTCCATAGCAAAAAAAAAAAAAAGGCTTCACTTTTTTATGCCAACTAGTTTATGACTTTCCAGCACAGAATATTTCACCTTTGGCAATAAACAAACAACAGAAAGACCCTTGATTTATCTGTTTCTAAAAAAGCCAGTAATTTCCTTCTGTTTAGGAATCTGGTTTCATTAGTCTCCTGCCTCGTACTAGTACAGCTTTGACTTTGATTCAGAACGTGCCTCAAAAAACCCCCCTCACACAGAAACGAGAATATTAAATTTACACATTTGATTGTAAAACAGTGTATACATTTTGACAAAATGAGCGTTGCTTTCTGCCTTTCCATTTTTCTGTGGTTTTCTACTATTCATGAATTGGAGTGCTCTCAAAAAAAAAAAAAACCACACAGAAATTTTAGCAGCTAAATGGTTGGTTAATCAAACGTAGTGAAGCGATGAAATTAAGACAATTTTCTTACCTGTTGTGACACCATGAACAACTCCTTCCTTGGTCCTGGAACCTAAACAAAGAACAATACTAGGTTGAAAATACATACTCTTATGTACTGTAAAGACTAGATGGATGATAAAGAGGGGTGAATAAAGAAATCACATACAGTTGCGTAGAGTATTTTTTAAGATTATTAATATTAACTAACGATAAATTCAACCTAAGGGAACACATCAAAACCATCAATGAAGAGCAACTGCATGAATGTACATTGACTGTCGAAAGGGGAATGATACTAAATCACTTCTGCAGTTTATTTCTTGTATGTCCTGACTTCCTTGCCTTTTTCTCGTTTGCCGTGTTAATGAAGCCTTCCACTTTGCAGACGCACATGGATGACTCTGCACAGAGACCACGTTATTGTCAATGTCCTTAGGAGGCTCATGCATTTGCAGAATATCAGGCTTTACACTTCCAACATCTCTATAATTTTAGCTTAACACTATGTGTAAAATCATAGACAAACTGGTATATCAGTAACATATTAGAAGGAAATCTATGAGCAGAAATACGTTAAGAGGAAGCATCTTCATCCACAATTCTTTACAATAATACAATTAAACACTGCAATACAGTATCAGCTTATTCATCAATATATCCTACTTGCTACTAGTGCCCATTTATGGCAGTATCAGGTTGATTACAGGATTGAAAAGCCTCTGTTGTCCATGAGCAAGAGCAGAACAATAATCCATGATACAAAAGAGGAAAAAAAAAGCTGCATCAAGTAAAATAGCATGTTACTTTAACTAAGTAATGAAGAGGTTAAACAGCTGAGAAGTCTTTTTCCCCCTTTATTCTGATTTTCTCTCTTAGAAAATCTTGTTTTCTCTCGCTGAAAATATTTATCATTGAAGGAATAATCGATTTTATTAAATCCCAGCCGTTAATGTCTAAGGACTTGTTTTAGGACTTTGGTTGTCAATCTTGCAGCACCATGACACCTGAAGAAGCAAAGCACTTTGAACACATCCTGGAATCCAAGCAGATGATGCTTCTACCAACTTTAGAAAGAGACGAAACACCATTTCAGGCTTACAGTGTGTCTGTTGGAATACTTAATATTAAGCATATGTACTGTTAGACCTGGCCAATATCTCATTCTTCTCGTTGAAGTTATTGTCTGCAAGCCAGGCTATTAACCACATGGAAACCAGTGAATAGCAAGTACTCAGCTCCCTAGGGCTGCTAAGAGATGGATGATAGGACAGAGCTCTCTGAGGACCTCTGCAATGCATAGATCTGCAGAGGGACATATGCAAGTTCTTACTTCATTTCCCCTGACATAACACTGCTCTAACCGCAGCTAACACAGAAATCCTAGCCTCTTTCTGGTAGTGGAAGTCAGGCTTCTCTTTAACGAAAACTCGGCTCGCAGCCCCATTACAGAACGGAGAGACGTATAGCCAAATCCATTAAATGGCAAACAACCAGCTAAGTGGTGGTCCAGACCTCACAGCATATGTTAGAGCTCTGTACGGCTTGCCCCACTGCTGCACACTTGCATGGAAGGAGCTGTTTCTGCAGTCGCAGCTACGACAGCATCCCGAAGCACACGAGGAGCTGCCAGAACAGGACTATAAATAACTGCAGTTGAATTCAGTAGGATGACTTCTAGCTGGCAATGAAGGAAAGCTGGTCATCCACATTGTTTCTGAGAGAGACTAGCTGCTTTTCGTTCTGGCATTCCCAAAACATGAATAATCCTGCTCGTTGTACCCTGCATAACAAGGGGAACAGAGGAATCAGAGTAGGGACAATGTAAAGATCAAGGAGCCTGCCACTGGCCTACAGTCCTTAGGAGATGCAGGAGCAAGAGTAGAACATGGTAATGCTACTTTTTCCTTGCTACAACACCCATTTGTGCAAGTGGAGGGAGAAGCCAAAACCAGAATTTTTGCCTTCTTGCAATTAGAAAAAAATAAATACAACAGACTCTCTTCATTTCATTATTTATTATCATCACGGTCATTATGCCAAACAGAAAATGTACATCAGCGGTTCGGCAATACACTGATTTCTGGGCTTTTTGAGAGACAACTAGACTGTTCCAAGCAAGTTTTCCCTGAGATTCAGGCTGCTTAGTCAGAGCTGGTTAAAGACACAGAGGCATAAACCCAAATTGTCGCCTAAGAAAAACACTTCCTCCCAAGTGTTGAAGCCCATTATTCCACCAGATGGACCCTGAGTCCCTTGACTACTCCTCTGGCTTTTCAACTACCAAAGGGAAATAAGAAACCTTATGAAAAGAGAGTGCAGCAGAGGAATTTGGATGGTCTTGCCAAATAGGTCATGACTGCACTGTTCTACGCTAAGGCCACGTGCCAGCTAAGCACAGGGAGTAGTAAACAACTCATCCGCCAGCCAGCCTGCTCCTGATAAACTGTCCCTCTGTTCTGCTGAGGTATAACACACCAAAAATGACCAGACTGGAAACTTCTGTTCCTGAGCGCTGACCGTGCGCTCAGGGGTCAACTGAGCAAAAACTCCAGCTCCCTGGCAGCACACACAGAGCTCAGAGGAGCTCTTGGGCAGTAGTGCCTCACTGAGGGCATGCAAGAGCATCCTTCTTGCTCTCAGTTCCTGTGTCAAAGTGAGTGGGGATGAGTATTGCTACTCGTTTCCTCACTGCTTCACACCAAAAGCTCTTGAAGGATACGTGGAGATGCAGTTTCAGTTTTAATACACCATGCAGTACAGGGCTGCTGAGCCTCCTTTAAAATCCATGATCAGGCCCTTTGACATCAAGGAAGGTCCTGACGCTGTGCTTGTCTGAGTCAAGACAAAGCCACTGATTTCAGCTGGCCAATACTGAAGCACATCAGCAGAGGAATTTAGGGAAAAAAACAAAAAACAAACAAACAAACAAAAAAACACCTGAAAGCAAAAAACCACACCATAGACTGTATTGAACGGTATCTTGGATTTAAAGAAGCAGGACAAAGGTAGTGGACTGAGCAAAGAAAGAACAGACTTCAGCATGGAGAGGGAAAAAAAATCCCCGGTAATCCTCCAGTACGCCACTCTCCCTCAGAGCTCAAAGTTTCCCCCTGTGCCAAAGGGAAATTTTCTTGTGCAAAAAAAAAAAAAAAAAAGGAAGAAAATAAATAAGTTGCAATGATCACATTTCATCCTAAACAGCAGCTTTTGTTTATAGAACTCTTAGCAGGTACAATTATGTTACAATCCTTCATGTAATAGCTATCAGTGGCCTGGACAGAAAAGTCCAGATGTTTCCCATATTTACTTAAATTCCACTGATTTTGGTGGGACACCATACCACGTAGGGGATCTGGACTAAACACTTTGCATCTTATTAATTCTTCAGCAGCAATGGAAGGCTGAATGCTACGGAGCTGACTGCTGAAACGGAAAACAATTACCAGGTCCCTCTCAGCCCAATGCTGTTAGGTTCTGTTTTTGCAAGATGCCAGGCAGCTTTCACAGCATAACCTGGTGGTGACACTCATATCTGAAAACCCAACTATAGGGACAGGGAGGGAGAAACCTTCAGGAGCTCTAATGTAGTGTGCTGCTCCTCTCCTCTGCTCATAACAGGGTTTTTCACCACCTTTTGCATTCCAACCATTATCAGCCTACAGAACCAAGAGATTATCACAGCAGCCTTTGCTAATGCTGCTCCAGAGAAGAGCCGTCCCTGCTGTGTGCTTGGGACTCAGACAGACAAACACCCAGCTCCTCCTTTCCCCCTTATCCTACTTGATCCTGTTGAAACTCCAGCTGGGGAAACTGTGGCTCCCTACAGGCAGGTGTGGGCAGGCACACAGCCAGGAACACAAGCTGCCAGATCTCCTGGGGACAGCTGCCAACCAAAGGCTTTTTTACCTGCACGACTGAACCCATGCATATAGCTCTTTCCTCACAAAAAGCAGGCATCTGCCGTGGGAAAGATCCTTCTCCATCACTACACTCGTCTGCACAGGTCCCCATCCGGCTCGGGGCTCGGCTGTCCTCAGGATTTTATTCTTGAAGCAAGCTTGCCCTCCAAAGCTCAACCTCAGCAAAAGCGTCTCTGAAGACAATAGGAAATCTGTTGCTTTTGGGAGCAGAACTAGGCTCCGATATTATTATGGTCTGGAGAACAGGTCAGACACAAAGATTAATTTGGCGCACAGTGCAGCTTTCTAATACAAAGAAACCGATGGCCCCAGAAGCATAGTCAGGAACAGCAAGAAAAGAAAATAAAAAAGCAAGCCCTACCCCTGAAAAATAACTCCAATACCAAGCACAATGTACAGTGAAAGAACAACTATTTTGATATACCAAAAATGAGCAGACGCTCATTTTAAAATAGACTCATCTCACAATTATTTTTCAAAATGACTGCTGTCTCTGCTGGCAAGAGCACCAAGCTTTGCGATGGCTCAGCAGGAGAAAAGTCTATTCCAAATGAGTAGTCCAAACTATCTGGAGCAGAACTAATTTGTTACAGACTGGCACTAGCCTGCAAGGGCAGAGGGAATCCTGAAAAGACATTGGAATTGCAGAGACCTCAGTGCTCCCATTTAAAAGAAATGCCTCTGGTTTTCAGCTCCATTTAACTTCTCTTTGATATCTGTGCACATCTCCACAGCGTCCATTACAGAACTGACCTGCTGCAAAATCAGCAAAAGAGAAAGGACCTGCAGAAAAGAGTATCTCCATTCTTCTACAGATGAACTTTATTTGATGAATAGGAGAAAGAGATCCATATTTTTTTTATGACCACTTATTCCTATAGTCTATAGGCAGATTATTTTCCTGTGGATTTTTCACGGCAGCATTTGCAAGATAGCCCTCTAAAGCCCAGTATTTGTTAAGCGAAGATGGTGATCATGCAATCAAAGTACCGACTTGGGTTTTGAACAGGATTTTATCCCTGACTCTCTGCGAGACTCCTGTGTGGCCTAGATATGTCACTTAACAACTGCTTTGCCACCTTGGGGTCTACCTGCCCTGCCTCATTAACTGCAGTGGCTCTTCCTTGAGAAGTCATGGAAAATGTCTGCTATGGACATACAATAGTAACACTGTACTACAATAGTAGTACAGAACATGAAGTTAATTTCAAAAGATGAGGAGATAACACTTTGCCATACAAAATGTTACTGTCGACATGCCAAGCAGTCAGCGTGGCTTATGCTCAGTTTCTGAATTAGTGTCTCAAGCTTCTTCTCTTAAAATCCCACATAAAAGCCATGTGTTCTATGGCATTACAGATGTGGCTCCACAGAACAGTAAAGCAAGGCCAACACAACACACTGACACAGGAACCAACATCTGGCTTCAAAGAACTGGAGCTCAGGAGGACACAACTCTCCTCTTGTTTGTTTTGCAGTGGTCTCCTGTGAGTGGTTACATTTTTTTTTTCTTTTCAGGGACACTGAAATGCCAGGGGACACCGAAATGCCAGGGGACACCGACCAGCAGGATGATCTCTGCTGTGCACCTACCCACATAGAGGACGCCTTCTTTCGTCCTTCCTGCCGCCTCTGCCACACCCTGCTTGGTTTTTTCTGCTGCTGCTACGACTCCTTCCTTTGCCTTGGAAAGTCCTTTCATGAACACATCCATGGCTGAAGAATTTCTTCACACAGCTCTAGAGGAAAAAAAAGGCAGTACACTTTCAGTAAGATTTTTTTTCAGCTTTTTATCCCAGAAAGGGATGAAAATTTTATTCAAACTGAATGGGATCACAATTACTTCAAAATTGTATTATTTATACCCCCATATTATATAGCTCTCAACCTCATGTCTATTAGCAATAAACAAACACATCTCTGTTGTGAAGCTGCACTCAGTATTTCAGATAGAAAGAACATTTAAATAACTAGAAAGAAAAGGAGTACGATTATGTGAATCACCTTTACATCTCCTCACATGCTGCCATATGTGGCAAGTCAAACAGCACTGCCAGAGCAGTTCCCCCAATCCAAGCAACGCTTGGAGATCCTCTTTCCACAGAATCCTATGGAGAGGTTGCTGAGAATGCAGTTCTGGTTCTGGAAGATGGATTCATTGATAAAACAAGTCCCTTCCTTGCCTACCAAGGGACCATTTCCTCCAAAGGATGGTTCTGTTCATGTGCTGATTGCAAGATTTAGCCCTGTGATACTCTTACCTCTCATCCAGAGGAAAAATCCAACTTAAACACCAGCAACTTAAAAAAAAAACCAAACCCAAAAAACACCTAAATGACAAATGGTCACTCATTATTGCTATAAGAAACTGTCATCACAATGCAGAAAGAGTGGAGCAAATAGAAAATGCTGCTTCTCCTGTAGCCCAGCATTTTGTGCACAGTCCACGTCATTCTTCTGGATCATGAGCTTTCTCAATGGGTTCTTTGCAAGTATCAGGACTAAGAAAAGATTTTACTAAAAAGCAAAAGCAAGAATGCAGGATTTTAAAACCACTGTGCGCCAGGCAGCAAGTGAGTTGTATGGCAAACCATACAACCCAGCGCTGCACTAAACACTACTAAAATAGCAATTAAAATCAAGAAATTAGGGGCCCTTCAACAAATCCGTTCTGGATAGTCCTTTCTCTTCCTCCACCCACACGGAAAGCAGCACTGCCTGTTATTTTCTTTTCTCTGCCAGAGGCTGAGTAGGAGGCACGGATGTCTAGGAAGGCATCTGGGCTGCAGCAGCAGCTTTCTACTAACTCGTGAGGAGGGTGTGAAGCCAGGCGGTATCTGTGCTCCTGCCAAACTGCCTCTAAGCTCCCTGTCACCCTGGGGCTGGGCTGGGGGGTGCCTTATACACACACAGGCTGGGGGGGGGCAGGCCCCAGCCCACCGCACCCTCCGGTTCCTCC